TTTTTATATTTCACATGAGTATTCTCATGTATACGAGTGTTCAAATGAAATGAATCAGTTGATTTAATTTGTTATAACAATAGTATAGAATATTGTAATCTCAATGATGAAGCAAAAGTAACCGTTGACAATGATCAAGTGTATTTTATTGGCGAGAATAATCAGAAAATAAGTGAATTATTCCACACTATGTGATATACTCATCAGTGAATGATGCATTGATGATTCTGGATCCGTGAGATTCCCATCCTACAAGTTCATTTCGTGCTACTTTGGACAGCATTCGAGCAACTTCCTGAGTTGAGTAACCTAGTAATCCATCTTCCCCAATAAGTGATTACGGAAAATTGAAAGCTCACATAACATCTTTGGGTGGGCTATGCGAATACGAATTAGACGATGATAACTGTCTATCGTACTTTTTCTTCACGACTGGTGATCAAAGGATTTTGGCGGATCGTTTCTCTGATGTTATTGGTTTGGACGGGACATACAAGACGAATAACGAGAACATCTATTTATATCAGGTCGTTGCCCTTGATATGAATGTTATGGCAATACCCGTTTGTATTGGAATAATAAGTCGCGGGACATCGACTTTGATTTCCCGATTCCTGTTGTTCTTCCAACGGTCAACCAACAGTCGACAGGTGGTAGGCATTGTGACCGATGATTCATCTGCATTAGCTGCTGCCATCACGCAGGTGTATCCGGATGCTCACCACATTTTGTGTCGTGTACATCTTATTCTCAATGTTATAAAGAAGGTAAGTGTTTCCATATGAAACTGGTGATGCAGCTGCTTGGGTTTTTTGTCCTTGCGAAGCAATGTATCGTAGGTTTTGTGCTTACGACCCATCACTAAACGTACGAGCAGTGAACTGTCCGAATACACATTCACTAACAGTAGGATTGCACGGTAATGCAATTAAGTTGACGTCTTTTTCTTCAAAAGTCTAAATTTTTTCAAGACTAAGATTACGCTACAAGAATTATCCACTCTCATTAAATTTCAAATGTAAAAATGTACATTCTTACATCCAATCAAAGCACTTGATGCTATTTTGATTTCAACTAATCACATTACAAAGACGAACAGTTTACGACCAATTACAAAATTATTAAGGGTGACAAAATGTTTGTTCATTATCACTTGAGCACACACTTGAAAAACAAGTACACCAATCACCTATCCTTAAATTTTTTTCACAGCCTACAACTTCAAAGAAATGGGTGGTAGGGAACCATAATTGCCGTCCATTTAATGTCAACCCCACAAATAACTGAAACCTTCAGATCTGGCTTAGATAAGTCAAAATTATCCGTACAATTTCTCTCTTTTTTTCTCTCTACAATCAATGTACCTTCTGGTCTTCCAAAGCCGTCTCTCCCAGTCGCCTAACCTTTATCCTTAAGGTTATATTTTTATTTCCATGGTTTTTCTATAATCATTTTTTTTCTAAACTGATGTTGGACAAACGCGTTCTAACAATTAACAACCTTTATAGAACTTCTGTTACTTTTCACACACTTAGCAACTACAACATAAATTTGTTAATTTATGATCTTAGTTATTTTGCTCGTTTATTACTAATTCCCGATAAACATTGTTACGCTTATCAAATATGCACTAAAAGTTTTAGTTTTTGTTTACATTTATACAACTTTGAAAATGTTCACACAGTTTCTACCATTTATAAGCTTGATTACATATAGAACAAATATCGTAGCAGAACAACATGAATGCAGTTATTTCGTGGATTCCACTTGGCTGTTTACAACTGATAACCATAGTTTTGATCTTACTAGCTTGTTTACTTACGCCTGTTACTCCCAATGGAGCATAAGCCGATAGTATTGATCAGTAAAACAAAATAAGTTTATATACTTTATATCGGCAAATGTCCTAAATAAATTAGATGAACATGTAGAGACAGAATATTGACGAGGATACACATTACTATTTGTTCTATGTTTGCCACGGAGATAACTATTAGGATCCGACTCAGTAGACCGCCTATGACTACTCCATTAAATTGACTGTATACGATATTGTTGAGTTGAAACTGAACGTCTATGGTGCATAAAAGTGGAAGTTCCTTGAATTGGCCTTTCGGTAACGGAAGTATTTCAAAATGGTGACAATTTGTATTGTTTCTTTTAAGTGGTTGCTGTAATAGCGATGATATATCAGATAATATCATGAAACGATCAAAGCTGTTAAAATTCTCTAGCATCTGAGTAAACTTGGAAGCGTCTTTCAAACTATGAACACATGATTTAAAGCGAATGGGTTCTAATTGATCCACTAAACATCCTACGAGTTTGAGAGATGGATAATTGATCGTTGATAGGATATTCCTGACAGAAGACTCGGGTTTGTGTAGTTATGGTAGTCCATTTAAGTACGTTAATCCGTACCCTCGAGATCTCGAGTCATCATATGTTTGATTATTAATTCAATTCCTCTTCTGAAGATCTTTAAAACACTTTAATGCTTCTCTCTATAGCTTTAGTCGTATCATTATCCGAGTTATCAAAAGGGAATCTAACAAAATAATCTACAACCATTGAGAATGAAATCACCTTAACATTTTTCTTCGATCGACCATTTTATTCTTGATATATGTTTCAAAGAACGGTTCATACTTCCCTCAGTAAACTGCCAACAAGGCTGTCTTTGAATCCGACCAAACGTTTAACACTCAGTATTACTTCATTTTCATCATCTTTACTGTCAGTAAAAAGAACCAATAACTATAAGTCTTAACTTCAAAGATGATGAGGTTGCAAACACAATCAACAGGAGACTGAATACTGCGCTAGCCAGAACTTATCTGGCGGCCAAACTTCAAATTCTGTATAAGACAACATGCTCAATAACTCAATCAAAGGTTGATAAGCATCCTTTTCTTGTTACCGCCAATTGTATTTATGAATTTACGTGTACCTGTCAAAGCAGCTATATTGGCCGAACAGAAAGGAGGGCATATCTCAGATTTCTTTTGAACATGTTCCAAAAAGCCTCAGAACAAGAGAAAGAAAGACTCTAAATAGTGCAGTCACCAAACATCTTGATACAGGACATCAAGTCGATACCCTGCAATCATTCAAGGTGATTAGTAAACAGCCCAACTCCAGTCTTCTGAATTTCGCTGTGGCAGTTGCTATCAGACGCCAGAATCCTAATTTATGTGTTCAAAAGGAGATGGTTATTAATCTTTCCTTGCCTTGGTGATTTATATTCCTTCGTTATATCTTAATAATTTTTTTCTTTTTCCTTAAACTCTTTCTTGCATTTATTACACCATTGAGTTTTATCCCAACTATCTTATTTTATCAACTAAACTCTACTCATTTTATTCCTATCAAGGTTTATTTGTTCCTAACCGTTTGAACTGTTGTCACAAAGTTCTTTCATCACATAAGGTATATATTTACAATATTCAGTCTATTAAATTTATTTACACCGTTACTATACTATACGAATATGTCTTCAATATAACTTCCAATCAAACTCTTTTATGTAAGTAATTTAAATCCATTAATTATGATTTTAAATATCACAGGTTGTAAGCAGCTGACGAGAACCAGACGAAATCAAAATGAATTCATGCTATTCTGCTAGAATGTTTGTTCTTGCTCTTTTCAAAATGATAAAGGGAACTATTTGTATTAAGTTTTATCGTACATAACATGTTCAGCATTTCTCAGGACTTGGCTTCCACAGATACTTGGAAGGATTAGTTGTGAATATGTTGCTTAGTTATTCAATCATACACGATGTTCTTGCAATAACGAAATTGTATGCGTTATTTGGATTGATAATAAAACCTTCATTAGTTTACGTAACTGTTTGAGGGGATTGTAGAGATGGTTAGTGCAAATATTACTGTGAATACGTATGGCATCATTCACATATTTCATAATTTCATTTAATCTCTACAATCATTGATATTCACTATAATACGCTGATTAAGTCGATATTGAATTTGCCTTTCTCAGCATTTCTATATTACATTGATCATCGTTCATGAAATACACCTAGTCCCCATGAATCTCATCCTGTTTACTCTCACTTAACTGAACAACCACAATTACAGATATTCAAAATAATTGTTACGTACATTCACAGCTTGTGTACTTCAACGTTATTTTGGTCAATCATCTGTCGTTATTATTTTGAAGTATGTCCTCATGATTTCGAATGAACAGTTACCTGTCATAATTGAGGAAATACTGTTGGACATACTGAGTATGCAACCACTCATAATGTCCATGTCATCTCTGTATTACCATGACCTGATTATGTGAATGTAAGTGTGACTATAACACGTGTGAGCTAGTGATGTTGACAGGTGTGAGTAGCATGTATTATCAATCGAAAGTGAAATACCTGAAACAGGAGATTGAGAAGATCAAACAGAAGAGAATGTAAACAGAGAATGATTAGTGTGGAACCAGAAGCACAATGAATTCTGAGACGATTGAATGGCATTTGCAGAAGGAACAGTCAAGTTTGAGACAATGAATTGATATTTTGCAAATGCAGTATATACGTAATGGTTATCAGATATTTTCAAAAGATATTCTGTAATTTTCTTCTCAAATACACTTGTGTTCTCGTTCACTACATCACAATTACCACTAACAAATGCATAAACATACATACAACACAATTTTACCTACTTATAATGACAAGTTGTATACTTCTGAATTTGATAATAAAATGAAGCCGAACCATAGTGACAATGATAATGTTGATGATGTGATTCATTACTGCTTCTGAATTAAGTAAGTTAACTTTGTGTTGTGCATGAATTTCTATTAGAAATGCACAGTACAATGAATAAATTAATTCAGACGAATCCCAATTAATTTTACTATTTCACTTGATATTCTGTGAAAATTCACATTGAAAGTGAACGATACATTGACTCACATTTATTACCAGTACATACAGCATACACAATATCATCATCTCAGTGAACAATATTGAAATGTTATTGTCAAGTGAATCTTGGACTAAAGTATTCATCCTGTGCAATTGTAGTTTTGTAGTAAGTATCATTACATATGTTCTCCTCATATGGTTATTCATTTCATCTTACTTATACAATCCAGGTGTTCGGTGTTGCTCTGTTAGCACTCGGAATTCAACCACAAATCACATTAAATCAATTCAGAACTATACTACAAAATGCGAAACCAGAGATCTTCCTGGTTGTCAGTATTTCAGGAGGTCTCGGTGTACTAGGATCATTTGTTGGCATTTATGGACACTCGAAGAAACACAAAATGATCATATATTTGGTAAGTGATATGTGCAATATGGACAAATGTATTTCACTCATACCTCTGTTTAGAACATTTTCGTTTTGTTTATCGTGACTTGTATGTGGATCGGTATGTCATTTAAAGTAGCTTTAACGGAAGACAGGGTTTGTTTGATATAAACTGAACCTAATGTATCGTGACACATTGATCTTCATATATTTACAGTTCCCTCAGTTAGCTGACAGCTCGTTAAGTTCTACTGTTAAGGAATATGATAAACGGGTTGATTATCGAATGGAGTTTGATCAATTACAAAAGAGTGTAATTTGTAATCAAACCGAAGACTATGATGATCTGTTGTCTATAGTTTTTCTGCTGTGGAGCGTCATCGTACAAAGACTATCCAATTATTGAAAGAGTACTGAAAACACCTGTTTCATGTATGTACAGTAAACTCGAATTTCCCAGAGTAAGTGAATATTTTGCAAATTTAAACCAATTAACTTAATCATTTGTGAATTGCAGTATGTGAATTAAGAATCGCTGTTTGTTATACAAAATCAAATATTATTGTTAATGTTGGGGCTGACTAATATGAATCACTTTATAAGTGAAATGAAATTGTGTAATAAATAATTTCAAAAGGGGTTTGGTTGAGATTTTAGTGGATTGGTTAGACATTAACACCGTTGAATGCCGGCCGGCTCAGTTGTCTAATGATTAAGCGCTGGCGAGCGAGAATGATAGGTCCTTGGTTGGAAATATTACTTTTGAAATTGAAGAATATTTGAGAGAACAATTGCTTACAATAACTTCATCATCAGGCTCTACAGTTATAAGTCCATGATTATAATATTTTACAGGGGCCAAAATAAGGCAGTGTTCTTACCTTTGGATGCAAAGCTCTGGCTTTTCGATCCGAATAGCAATTGCTTCAGCCGTCTGTAGAATTCTCAGTCTGACGGAATTATGTAAATTACTGTTAACATGATATATTATCGCGAAAGATTGCTTCATGTTGGCTTCATGGTCTTAAATGAAGCTGTTAACCGTTTTGACTACACCTTTGCTTATGCACACGTGGAGATACTCACGAGGCCGAATGTACAAATTCCTAGAACATCTGCCAATATAAATTGCTCCACAGGAGCAGTTGAATTGATGGATACAGAAAGAGGTGGCTAATCTAGGCAAATTATCTTTCAATCTCAGAGTGATTATTGGACGTGTGGAAAATATTACTTGTAGTTTACCTGAATTAGAAGTCTTTTGAATTGATCTGCTTAAATTCAGTCTTACCATTTCACTCGGTGCACCGCCTCTGAATTTTAAGCGCATATACGGAGGATTTAAATTTACAGTTAGGCATTTTCTCTGCTGTCGTCTATTGGTTATGTTTTCTATTAGTCAATTTCTCAAGATAGTCATTTTCCTTCAGGGTTTTGTATAATGCCTTTGTTTCATCATCAGTCGTAGCCGAAGAGCATATATTCTTGATTCTATGATGAAGTGTCTTAATAAGTTCCTTTTGTGTTGCAGAGGAACGATACTAAGAAAGTTTGTATATTGATTCGTCGAGGTAATTTCCCTGTTTATGTTTCTTCTTAGCGAACCGTCTTTCCTCCTTGTAAATAGAACATCTATTAGGCCTGTTCTTCAGTCTTCAGTAATAAGGATAGTAGGTTAATGAACCCGTATTAATCCTGACACACTGCTTTCCAGTGAAGGTCCAGCTTCTCCTTGAAAGTATTCACTGATGGGGCTGATACTACTTGTTCGGGTAAGGCGTTCTACCCCTACTTTCCTTCTCCCATGTGAATATTCGCTTATAAACTGATTCATGTTCACAACTTCATATTAGTCAGCAACAACATTAACGATCATATTTGATTTTGTATCACAAACAACAATTCTTGATTCACATATTACAATTTCTAAATGATGATGTACTCTGACTTAAATCTGGCCAAATTTATGGATTATTAATTTGGATATGAGATAATTGCAGAACCCGATGAGAAATTATTGAAAGGAATATTCTTCATTCATACAATTGTGTTGTAATATAATCGGAATTTTTCAATGACATTAAATCCATTGAAATTGTGGTCATTACTGACTCTTCTGTTCCTCTCATCACCACACTATAACTCAATCATATTAGTGAGTGACTAGTGGTAAAATCAAAACCATTAACTCAAAATCACTGAACTGCTCTACCGACACCACAATAGATTGTTGGCTGTGACAAGACAGTTCTGCATTGTTCTCAGTCTTATTCTCATTCACAACAACATCACAGTCTAATCACTTTCACTACGCTTCACATTTCAATTATCCATGTAGATTTATTGAATGAATGATAAACATTTCATTGTAATTCTTCATTCACTTTTTCTCATCATTTCATCAAAGGGATGTGTATCAGCGATAATTGAATATACACAAACTTATCTAAATCTAATCATGTATCTATGTTTCACATTCGGGATTATTCAAGCGGTCTACTTGATATTGTCATTTCTGAGAATCCGCAAATTTGAAGGTGACAATTTTCTATCTGCATAATTGTCTTATTGAGATCAAATGTTAAGAAGATATTCAATGGAACCTAATATCAATCAAACAACCGAATCATTGACTATTCATTACTCATTCTATTGTCATTTGATCTTACTTATTTGTACACCATTATACACTATTCTTATCAACTGAATAATGAATTTCTTCATTATTTTCTTTGTTTAAATCAACTTGTTACTGGGAGGTATTTCGAAAGAAAACAAACAAAAAATGTGAAACGTTTATTCTCTTTAACACAATCGATAGGATATTTCAACTAGAGTATATCAGTCAATCAGATCCGAAGTGTTCATACAACGAATACAAGGTACTTGATCGAAAGGAGATTATCATTATTATTATTATTATCATAAGGTATTGATTAGATTTCAAGATAGATGGTTGTCATCTCTTCAGAGTGTTTATTGTGGAGGTGTAATAGCAATCATAAATCGATCTAGTTGTGGTTATTGAGAGTTGCATTATGATTTAATGATGGAAAGTCATTGGTTGACTATAACACTGAGAGCATTGTGGATTGATTGAGCTTTATAAGTAAAACGATAGGTGTATTTTTCTTTGAAATTCTACTTGTGACATTTCGTCACAATATCTGTTGAGCATAGTTTGAGATGTGAAAACCACACTACAATGGAATATACACTATTGATATAACATGGCTCGGAGTTACTTACTTACGTGCGCCTGTTACTCCTAATGGAGCATAGGCCGCCGACCTGCATTCTCCAACGCACTATGTCCTGGCCATTCTTTTCTGATTCCATCCAATTCTTGTTCATTTTTCACATGTCTAACTCCATTTCCCGGCGTAATATGTTCTTCGCTCTTCCTCTTCTCTTCAGTCGGCCTTGAGGATTCCATGTGAGGGTTTGTCTCGTGACGCAGTTGGGTGCTTTCCTCAATGTGTGTCCTATCCCTTGGTGTGCGTTGACGGTTGTTTTCAGTTCCAGATTTTGTTCATTTGTAAAAATGTTGCTCTTGCTTTACCGGTCGTCGCCTTCTCGTCTTCATCGGATCCACTGTGTTCACCAATGATGCTGCCCAGATATGTAAAGGTTTTTACATCCTCCAAATCTTCTTCGTCAATTGTGACTGGATCGGTGCATGCTGTGTTGTATCGGAGAATCTTGCTTTTCCCTTTGTGTATCTTGAGACCTACTGCTGCTAGGGCTGCTGCTACACTGGTCGTCTTCTTCTGCATTTGTTGTCGCGATTGCGATAGAAGAGCCAGATCATTTGTGGACTCTAGATCGTCCAGCTGTATCCTAGCTCAGTGGAGAGCTAGGATGTTGATGTCATCATGATCCAGTCGATTACCAGGAGAAAGAGAAAGGCTGAGAGTAAACAAAATTGCTTGACACTGGTCTTTACTTCAAACGAGTCTGTCAATTGTCCTCCATGCACAATTTTGCAGTTTAATCCATCGTATGAATTCCTTATGATTTTAACTATCTTCTGAGGCACGCCATAGTATCGAAGAAGCTTCCATAGTGTTGTCCTGTCCACATCATCGAATGCTTTCTCGTAGTCAATGAAGCTGATGTAGAGTGATGAATTCCATTCAATTGATTGTTTCACGATGATCCGTAGAGTTACGATTTAGTCTCTACACGATCTATCCCTACGGAATCCTACCTGTTGGTCTCGGAGTTGGGAGTCTACGGAGTCCTTCATTCTGTTTAATAATACCCTGTTGAAGACTTTTCCCGGTATTCAGAGAAGAGTGCATTTTGTGCTTGTTTGGACAGCATCAATGCAACTCCCTGTGTATGTGGGGCATTTTCTTCTTCATGGCCGGAGTATAACAGGAGCTCTCCTGAAGTTAGTCGTTGTTGTCCAACTTGCGTTCAATGTGTTTCACTGATCCCAAGTACCTCAAGTTTGTATCTTCTCATTTCTGCAGCAATTTGGAAGGCTCTCCCGACGTCCCACATTGTATGAAAATTCCATGTACCTAAATAAATGGTCGCTCTGGTTGTCAGAAGGGGCATCGACCTCGTAACAAGATTAAACTGTGTGATGGATATCATTTTAATTTTATCTTGATAAACATATTTCAGATTGAAAACTGAACAAAAAGAACTTATTATTTAACCACATAAGTTACTTACTTACTAACGCCCGTTACTCCTCGTGGAGGAGCATAGGCCGCCCGTTAGCATTCTCCGTCCAACTCTGTCCTGATCAATCCTTTCCATTTATTTCTGTTGTTATTCATTTTCGAATGTCTGCCTCCTATCCTCGGCACTTTGTGTCCTTTGGCCTTCATCTATTCCGCTTCCCTTCAGCATTCCGAGTTGGGACCTGCCTCGTGATGCGATATGGTGATTTTCTCAAAGTGTGTTCTATCCACTTCCAACGTCTTGTCTTCATTTCGCATTCAGATAGAAGCTGGTTTGTCCTCTCTCACAGAATGTTGTTGCTGATGGTATCCGGCCAATGGATGTTGAGTATCTCGCATAGACAACTATTCATAAATACATGTACCTTCTTCATGATAGTTATAGTTATTCTCCACGTTTCAGCTCCGTACAATAGAACTGTCATGACGTTAGTAGTGAGGATTCTGACGTTGATATTA